AAGGCCCTAAAGCCTCAACCCTAAACCAAGCAGCGATCACAGAAGAATACCCTAAACCCTCAACCCGAAACCAAGCAGCGATCACAGAAGAATAGCTCACTCGCAAGTCATCCACGAGATATCTGAACACCGTCAGGGCGACTTCGAAGATGGTCTGGAATGCGGGCTCGTGACGGGTTAGGGTTTAGAGTAAACAGGGCTCCTAGAAGGGATCTATAAGAGCTCTCTCTAAAAAGGGTACGGTTTGGGGTTTAGGGTTTGGGGTTGCATGAGTTTTGGACAGGATGTTCATAAGGTGTGGCGCGGACCTGAAACTCTTGCTCTGGATGATGACCAAAGGACGTATATCCAATAGGAAGGATTTGACGGGTACAGATAGACGGTTTAGGTTTAGGTTTGGAAAGCTCAGACGGGTGTACGGAACAGCAGAATCTCTCCTAAAAAGCATTCCAACCCTAAACCCTAAACCCTTTCCAACTTTTAAACCCTAAACCCTCAACTAACTTCAACCTGAAACTCCTAGACCCCAAACCTCAGGGCCCTTTAAACCCTAAACCCCTGAAAGCCATGAGGGATTAGGTTTTAGGGGCTTAGGGTTTTTAAGTAGGGTTTAGAGTTTAGGGTATGCGGCTTAGGGCTTTTATACTTTAGAACTTCGGGTTTACGATAGACCCTACCTGTAACTCTCCTCACCTACAGTTTAGCAGCCATTACCCCTCAATTAGTAAGTTGAACACAGAAAAACTGTAGGTAGTTAGAGTCCCAGGTCAGCTCGTCTACAACCCTAAACCCTAAACCCTGAACCCTAGACCCTAAAACCTAAACCCTAAACCCTACAACCCCAAACCCTCATCCCTAAGCGACCCTAAGCTCTACAACCCTAAACCTGAACCCTGAGCCCTATCCTGTCCTCTTCGGCGGGCTCGATGCCTTGCAGTAGCCCATAGCCGGGATACTCCACGGCAATGACGTTCACCTCGTACTTGGCTGAGGGTTTGTAGGGTTTAGGGATACAAGGGTTTAGGGTTTAGGAGGGCTAACCTTAGGGTTAAGAACCCTAAACCCTAAACCTCTGAGGCTTATCATAGTAAGGATCTCTAAAGCAAGTAGGCTTTATAGCGTCCAGGAAGGTTTCAGGATTGAGGGTTGAGCTTTGAAATTCCCAGGAAAAAAGCTCTAGGATTGGTGGGTATGGGGGCATAGGCATTTAGACTAGGGCGCCTTGGGTTCCCTAAGCTAGGGTTTAGGGCTTAGGGTTAGGGTTTAGGGCTTAGGGTTAGGGCTAGAGTTAGGGTTTAGGGTTTGGGGCTTAGGGTTAGGGTGCAAGGTTGAGGGCGTAAAGTTTGGTGTTCGCAGCGAAGTTCCATGTAAGGCTGCTAGTCCACTATGTTTGTCTTCGTTTATCTGTGCATGGCCTACCTGAACGCCCACCCCTGAACCCCAAACCCTAACCCGAAACATTGCCTAAATCCCGATGTCAGCTAAATGCTGAAGCCTAAACCCTGAACGCCAACTAAACCCAAACCCACCCAGGCCGTGCTGGCCTTGAACTGATCTCGCATGTGTTTTACGAAATGGAAGGCAGTGCCAATGTCCTCGGAGTTCGCGTGAAAGTACCTTGGGCGCATGGCTTCGCGTTTCGGGGTTCAGGGTTTCGGATGTTACGCTTCAGTTCAGGGGTTTGGGGTTGGGCGGTTTGGGATTTCAGGTTCAGGGGTCTCACGGCTCGAATTGCTGGCACAGCCAGGAGAACTGCAAAAGCAAAGCATGTGGCTCACGGACACCTGCTTACAGCTACAAGGCCTGACAATCACGGGCCCTTCAAACCCTGAAGCCTGAACCCTAAGACCCTAAACTCCTGTCCCCTCATGGCACCATTAATAGAACTCTTGTAGACCGTGACGGAGCTCGAACCCTAGAGGGGTAAGGGCCCATGGAACGGGGTGGATATGTCAATGTGGGCAACCACCCGATGCCAAGAGAAATTAGGAATCCGGTGGTGACAGGGTTTTGTCGGAGTTTGGAGCTTATGTCTTGGGGCATTGAAGGAATAAACATGAATGAAGAGCCGTTACGGGTGTTGAAGGTGCCCGCTGGGTGTTATGGGGTGTACATCGGATCATTGGCTTAGCACTCGTTATACCTGCGGCCCCCAGCCCTACGAAATAGCAGGTTATGATAATGTCCCTGCAGTGTAGGCGGCGGAAGGATTTGGTTTGATTACCGTCTACTTGGAGGCCCTTTTGACTTAGTAAGTAGGGTTAGTAAGGTGGGTTATGGGGATTATAATAGGGCTCCTGGGGGATACTAAGTAGACTTACTAAGTCAAAAGGGCCTCCAAGTAGGGTTTAGGATTCAGGGTTAAGGACTTGGAATTCAAATTTGTTTGGCACCACACCAGCTGCAACTTTATCGCCCGGGTTACACCCTAAACTTAACCCTCTTAGAACCCTAAACCCAACCCTAAACCCCTAACCCCTAACCGCTAACCCCTAACCCCTAACCCCTAAACCCTAAACCCTAAACCCTAAACCCTAAACCCTAAACTGAACCCTCTTCCGGGGCACATCACCACGGAGGCCGCCTTTGGCGCAGGAAACCAGAGGCAGGGTACTCCGCCTGTGCGGCCTGGATCAAGCACAAGCAGTTTTTCGGTTTGGGGTTTAGGATTTAGAGATTAGGATTTAGGGTTTAGGATTTAGGGTTTAGGGTTTAGGGTTATATAAGGGTTGTGGATTTAGGGCTTGGGATTTAGGGTTGTGGGTTCAGGGTTTGGGATTTAGGGTTTAGGGTTTGGGATTTAGGGTTAAGGGTTTAGGGCTTCGGGCTTAGGGTTTGTGATTTAGGGTTTAGGGTTCAGGGTTTAGGGCTTAGGGTTCAAGAGCATGGCGCACGCTCCAGATGCCCTGGGCGAAGCAAAGAAGCTAGCATAATGTAGGAGCCTTCATAATTAGAAGCGGCTTTTCGGCTCCTTTACAGTATAGTTGTAACAAAGACGACTCAGGAACCATATTGCTAGTTAAATATATTAGGGCTGCTGGACACGGGATGCTCAAGTGCGAGATCCACATCCTTTTTATTCCAGCCAGGTCATTTGGCCAAGTAGACCGGTTTAGGACCCTAAACCCTACAGGGTTCAGGGTTTAGAGCCCCTAAACAGAAGGAACCGGCGAAGCCCCACCAAATTCTCTTAAAATCCAGACTCCCACAACACAGCCCTGCGACGCCCGCTCCCACGGTTTAGGGTTTAGGGCTTAGGGTTTACCCCAAATGCCCCGGTTTAGGGTTTCAAGTGTAGGGTTTACCCCAAAAGCACCTCCTCCCGCGCCCTTTGCAAGGAACCATCCCCAAAAACCGCACCGACCTGGTGAAATCATCGGATTCCATGGGATCGTACCTGGGAGGCAGCTGGTTCAGCCCGAGCCCTGAACCTGAGGTTCCAAGTACCTCAAAAAGTTCAGCAATCATATCGTCTTGAAAAGATCTCTTAAATAATCATAGTCTTTAAATGATCTCTGGAATAATCATATAGTCTTTAACTCATCTCTTAAACAACCCCTGAAATTCAAAGGATCCCTACTTCAAGGAACCCTCATATCCCGAATAGCTCCTCCCAAAAGCTAACCCACAGAAATACCATCCTAAACGCAAATAACTGCTTATTGCACCTAAACCCTAAACCCCCTAAACCCTAAACCCTAAACCCTATACCCCTACAACCCTTAACCCTAAACCCTAAACCCCTAAACCCTAAACCCTAAAACCCTAAACCCTTGGGGGAAACACTGAACCACCCCCTGGGAAGGGTCGCTCAGTGCACTCCATTAAAGGTGCCTTTGCGGGTGGCCTTAAGGGTTCGTTTGAGGGTTCCGTGCTTGTCCTTTTTGGGGGTTTAGGGTTTAGGGGTTTAGGGTTTAGGGCTTAGGGGTTCTTGCTTCTAGCAATAATAATCATCACAAGACTCTTGTCTGTACTGGTAACAACAACAAACTGACACAATCATAATCATGATCAAACAAGCCCTATGCACTAAAGACTATAAAGCGTACACTAGGGTTTAGGGTTTAAGTTCAGGCTTTCGGGCTGCAGGTTTACAAACGTGCGGCTTGTAGGGTGTGGGGCATCTGGTCTCAAAATACTCATTAGAACAGAGTTTAAGGAACAGAGTATACCCCAGAAATTTCTATCGTCTGGGATTCAGATGGCCTTTCCTGCTAAACAGTAAACCCAAGCCTAAACCGTACGAGACCCAAAGCATTCAACCATGGAGCCGCTCAACTGTAAGTTTAGGGTTTAGGGTTTAGGGTTTAGGGTTTAGGGTTTAGGGTTTAGGGTTTAGGGGTTTAGGGTTTAGGGTTTTGGGTTCTAAATCCTGCAAAACTCAAAGCCTTCAACCGTTGAATCCCCGCAATATAGGGGCCTTAATAATTAGAATAGGGTTTCGGGGTCCTTTGTTGCATAAATAATAATAAGGAACCTAAGGAATGACATTGGTCCTTCTTTTGGCTTCTATAGTACAGTACACCACAACAAGCTCAAACCATTTTCTGAGCCAAGTTGGACAGACTCCTGGAAACACCCTGTAAGGAATCTTTATCGGAACCCATAGAGGACCCCCAAACCTGTGCTTCGAAGTAACCAGGGAGAATCAAGTATAGACTTTTTTCATAATGGTTCAGGTCCCCCCAAAAAAGTATTAAACCCTAAACCCTAAACCCTAAACCCTAAACCCTAAACCCTAAACCCATAATGGTTCAGGTCCGCCCAAAAAAGTATTAAAGTATGGTACCCCAACGCCCAGAAACCCCACACTTCAAGAGACAAGACACACAGATTCCTGGGGAAGGAGGTCTTGCTGTAGGAGGCCCTTGGTGCCTGCAGATGAAATCGGGGTAGGGTTTAGGGTTTAGGGTTTTGGAGCCAGGGTTTACGTGACATTTGTTGAGGGTTTGAGAGGGGCTTGATGGTTGCAGATTTAGCGTGTAGGCTTTTGGGGCGTACCGCGATCCTGAATCGTATACAGACTTGGTTCACAAAGGATACAAGTTTAGGACATACAAGGGCATCAAAAGACCTTGCGCCCTACAAGATCTGCAGCTGTTCAGGTCAGGTCCAGGTAGCACGTGGACCGAAGTCACTAGTGGGATTCCAAGTGTACCCACAAAACCCAACCTAAACCTTACACCCCAAGCGCTAAACGCAAAAGCCAGCAAAAGTTTTCTTTCGGTCGCAACGAACCTCAAAACTATGATAAGTGGCAGGAAATCCTGACGGGTTCATGCAAACCAAGGATCACCAGTGGTCTAGGAACAAAACGCTCAACTTTAACCCTAAACCTCAAACCCTAAACCCTAAACCCGAAACCCGACCCTACCCTACCCTAAACCTTAACGCTCCACCCTCCCAGAACCGAGGGCTCCAGGAAGAAGGGACGTAAACCCTACAATCCCAAAACGCCTGAAGCCTAAACTTTCGGCTTAGGGTTTAGGGTTTAGGTTTACGGTTCAAGGTTTTAGGGTTTCCAGACCCCGAACCCTAAACCCAACACCCGTACACCGCAAAACCCCAAACTCCCTCTAAACCCTAAGAAATCCCAAAAGGAACCCTTAAAGGAGCCCTTCCTGCCCCCAAACCCTAAACCCTAGACACCCCAAACCCAACCCCCACCGCCCTAAACCCTTAGCCCTAAAAGCCCTGAACCCTAAAAACTAAAAAAACACTAAAGACCCTAAGAACCCTAAAAGCCCTAAACACTAAAAAACCTAAAAACCCTAAAAACACCAAAAACCCTAAAAACCCTAAACCCTAAAAGCCCTAAAAGCCCAAAACACCCAAAACACCCAAAAAACAACTAAACCCTAAATACTAAAAACCCTAAAAAGCCCAAACCCTAAATACTAAAAACCCGACAACAACCTAAACCACTCCCCCACCGACCTGGAAGATGATGGGATTGAACATCGCCCCGGCACGCAGCCGACCAGGGCACTCCTTCGAGACTTGGGGGCTCCTATGAAGGGGTTACGACTTAAAGGGAGCCCTCTTAGGGTTTAGGGCTGGAGGTTTAGGGGAGGGCCTTTTTGGTGTCCGCTTAGGGGTTTAGGGTTTAGGGCTTAGGAGTTTAGGGTTTAGGGTTTAGGGGTTTAGGGTGTAGGGTTGAGGGTATACGTACAGTGCCCTGGAATGGCTATTACAGACCCTAATGTACGCACCCTGAAATGGAACCCCAATAGAGAACCAGATGGTCTCCTTCAAGGGCACCCTCAGGTAGAAACCCTAAACCCTAAACCCTAAACCCTAAACCCTAAACCCTAGAACCCTATGGTATCCTTAAAGTATTAAAGGGAACGCTAATGTAGAACCCTATGGTCGCCTCAACGGGCACCCTATTGTAGAAAGCTACCCAGAGAACCCAATACCCTTAATTGCGGAATATACCTTGTAAATCATAGTATTAAGGCCCCTATAATTTAAGGCATATTCCTTAATTAAGGAATATACCTTATAAATCATCATATTAAGGCCACTATAATTTAAGGCATGTTCATAAATCATAGTTTTAAGGCCCCTGTAATTTAAGGCATGTTCATAAATCATAGTTTTAAGGCCCCTATAATTTAAGGCATATTCATAAATCATAATATTAAGGCCCCTATAGTACCCTTTGAAAAGGCCGTCCTTGGAAGGCCTGGGCTTCCCTAAACCCTAAAACCCCTAAACCCCTAAACCCCTAAACCCCTAAACCCCTAAACCCCTAACCCCTTAAACCCCCAACCCCTTAAACCCTAAACCCTAAACCCAACGGTTTAGGGTTTAGGGTTTGGGGGTTTAGAGCTTGAGGGTTTTAGGGTTTAGGGTTTAGGGTTTAAGGTCCCTAACCCCTAAACCCCAAAAACCCTATAAACCCGAGGGCTCCTTAGGAAGATCCCTGAAAGGAACCCGGAAAAGAGCCTCGAAGGGGCACCTTGAGTGAAGGGCTCCTTTAAGGTCTCCTTCAAAGAGTTCCTTAGGGTTTAGGGTTTAGGGTTTAGGGTTTAGGGTTTAGGGTTTAGGGTTTAGGGCTCCTTTCAGGGGTTCCCTTCTTCCGGGTTCCTTTAAGGGCTCAATCTAACGAAATAGACGGGGCCCTATACTTCAGTCCTTCAAGGGTGTAGGGAACCCTAAACCCTAAACCCTAAACCCTAAACCCTAAGATGTGTGGGGTTGATTGAGAGCACGGGTTCCGGGTTCCGGGTTTGGAAGGAACCCCTCGAAAGGGACACCGCTACGACCATGACACCAAAACCGTATGAAATCTCTAGGATCTTATATAAAGCCTTAAACCCTAACCCGATCATAAAGAACAGTTTAGACACCCCGCCCCAAACGCTTAAAGGAACCCCTAAAGGACCGCCCCTTAAAGGAACCTTTACAGGAGCCCTTGTAGGACCCCTTGGGGCGCCTGCCCCTGTCACGGTGGCGCGGGCGCCCCGCGCCGATCCTTGGACCTCAGCGGCGAAAGGCAGCTTAGGTTTAGGACTTTAGGGCTTCTTTGGGGGTTTAGGGTTTAGGGCTTCCGGGTTTGGGGCTTTCCGTTTTGCAGCTTCTGGTGTTCAGGGTTTAGGGTTTACAAAGTCTAGGTTTAAGGGATAGGGTTTGGGAATTGAGGGATTAAGGGATAGGGCTTTGGGTTTCGGGTCTACGATTTAGGTTTACGGCTTCAGGCCTTAAGCACAAGGCTTAGGGCCATTTATCTTTTCCAGAGTTGAAAACAAAAGAGCCTGTCGCTCGTGCCTCTATCCAGTCGACGAGAGTTCGTAAGTGCTTGAGATCGGAGAACCGTTTGCAGAAAGACTGTTTCTGCTTTGCTTGCCATTCTTTGCGAACATCCACGCCTCCTGTCAGAGCATGTCTCCAAGCGAGTCCTTCCGGAGTGCTCCTTGTATCCGAACAGGACGCACCTTTGGCATCCTGGCAGAAATCGAAAAACTGTGGCGAAGACGGGTTGCGGGGCCAACAGCATCATCAGGACATGAGCACTCTTTCCGGTCCCCCACGGACCCTAAACCGTAAACCCAAAGCTCGTAGGGCTTTTGAGGTTTCCTTGCATTTCAGGCTTGAAGGCTTGTTGATGGCCAGAAAACCCTAAACCCTAAACCTTAAACAGAAGTTTAGGGCTCTGGGAGATTGGGGCTGAGGATTACAGGGCTTAAGGTTGAAACAATTTCCCTCAACCCCTAAACCCCTAAACCCTAAACCCCTAAACCCTAAATCCTAAGCTCCTAAACCCCGAAACCCTAAATCCTAAAGCCCCTGAACCCTAAACCCCTAAAACCCTAATCCTAAAGCCCCTAAACCCTAAACCCAAAACCCTGAATCCTAAAGCCCCTAAACCCTAAAACCCTAAACCCTAAATCCTAAATCCCAAACCCTAAACCCTAAACCCCTAAACCCTAAACCCTAAACCCTAAACCCTAAAGCCCCTAAACCCCTAAACCCAAAACCCCTAAACCCCTAAACTCCAAACCTCTAAACCCCTTAGTCCCTAAACCCTAAACCCCGTAAACCCTAAACACACCGCGAAGGTGTGAGACGATAGCATGTTTGGGAC